ATCCAGGTCTGCTTGCTGGTTGATACCTTGTTCTTTTTGCCCTGTTTGAGGAGGAATTTGTCACAGGACACTTTCCTAAACATCCTAAATGATTCTATGCTTGTCTTCCTACCCTTTGCAATAATCAGTAGACAGGAGAAAGAATAAAACACACTTAAATTTTATTCCCTTTGCTGAGGAATCACAAATCCCAGTGGTTACTGATGAACATCATTCCTTCCTCTATCTCACCCCAGCACAACACAGTGGAAGAGCTGGCCTGTTGATAAGACATATGTCCACCATTGGACTAATGCTGTGCAGGCAGATGTTGCATGCCTGTCCCTTCCAAGGGAACACTTCCATACAACAAACACCGCTTAGTGCCACTACAAGTGATTTTCCAGAAGTTTATGCTTATTTCTTTCCTCTCCAACCCTCTATTCTGAAACTGCAAAACTTCTAACATTTCCAGTGGTGCACATTATGAAGTAGGAGGCTAAGGTTTTGGAGAGAACCACAAGAAACAGGCAGGTCATCTGCACAGAGCTTCACAGAAATCAAGACTTCTTATGGCTGCTCTATAATCTCATAGCACACAGTAGCAGGTATCTTAAACAAAACATCCTTTGAAGCTGATGTTAAACAGGGTGTTTTGTTCAATGAGATTTAAAATAGATTCCTAAAGGAGCTGCAGCTTTTAACAGACAAACCAAGCTTCTCTCTGAAGTATAAGGAGAAGTGAAGAAGCTTTTAAATAAATTTGAGTTTCTGAAGACTCCAAACCTCTCATTTTCTTTCTCCCTTTTATTCACCCACACACGCACAGTGATTAGGCACATTAATGACATCCAGAGAAGTACAACCCAGAGGAAGCATCAATGAAGGGCCCTGAATCACAGCAAATGAGAAATGCCTGGGAATGCTGTTGTATCCATCCCATATATTCCTTCTAACTTACCCTCTACCCCCAAAACTAGACAAGCTCTCTCTCTACCTTAGTTGGTGGCTGCTCCACTTTGAGATCCGGAGGGTTGGCCAGTAGGTCCCTGGCGAGTTCTACAGTTAAGCGGCATGCTTCATTACTGTATCCATGTGCATACAGGGCCTCTGCACAGGCAAACAGGATCTGCAAGAAAGAACAGATGGTCATATTCAAACCACACTGCACCAGGCTGGAGCTAGTCTGCTCAAACCACTTGTCTTAAAGACTCTACAAACACAATTCACAATTAACTTCTGCAGCAGGTGTTCTCAGAGTCCTCCTTGCCTGGACCTCCACCACCATCCCTTTAAGCACTCTGCTAAAAAGCCTTTTCTTCTATGATTAAGTCCCATCCTCCCTCCAAGTGCTACAAAAGATCAGAGAATAACTCAAAAAAAATTAAAACCCAAACTGACTGACTATAACTATTTCCATGCATCTCCATTTCAGCTGCTTGCTCATATAGGTGCAAGCTCTAAACATATTTTGAGGGTATTACATGGATGTGACACAGTCTATTTAGATTGCCTGTGGCTTTCCAGAGAATTTCTGCTTACGTGGTTGGATTTAGATTTTTTCCTGCTGGGCATGTCCTGGTCTTACTTATTTTTAATCTCAGCTCAATTTTGCCATTTCCAAGAGTGAGACTACGAAAAAAGCACACACTGTTTTGCCTACATTTGTAAATCCGGGAGTGTGAGATGGGACCAGCTAAAACTGGGACACACTTGAAGTTAGCACAGAAATAGGGAGTCAAGTTTGCGGGAAACAGACACGTGTGATACCACTGCATTAAGACTGTAGATACCTTATGATACAATGGGTTATGACGAAATTATAGTTAAGCACTTGATTTAACAACATACGAGGTTAAGTATGACAGCTAGGAGGGTGGCAACACCGTGATGTATACAATATGTAAAACTGCAAAACAGCGTTTTGAACTAGATTCAGCTCACCTCCATCCGGTTCTCCTGCTCCAGAGGCTTTATACCAGCAAATATATCCTGCTCCTCTTCATTTCCCCCTTCAGCTTTGTCATCATCTTCCTTGGCTACCTCTTGTGGATTCAGATAGTATACCTGGTAATCGTCTTCCTCTTCTCCATCATCCCCTCCCCCTGCTGCACCATTCTCTCCCACTTCTTCTGGCTTCAGGCTCACACCACCACTGTTCTCATCTGCAGAAGGCAGGTCGTCATCACCACTACCCATTTCCCCCATAGGATCCTTGGGCGATTTCTTGGCCATGGAACTGCTCCTGACACTAGGCTCAGGTCCCTCAGAGAAGTACACCCCACCATCCTCCTCAAAGGTGTCCCTGTAGCTCCTGCTCAGTGGGCTTTCTGTAAAACTAAATGTGTTGCTGGCTTCTGCCCCCAGAGCCAAGCTGCTGTCATCCAGGCTCATCTCTGCCAAGTCTGGCTCCAGAGAGCTGTCTTCACTGCTCATGCGGCGTTTCCCACTATGTTTACTGGTCAAGCCTTTGCTCACTGGCAACTTTGCTTTGCCCACCGCAGTCTTATACACAGCTTTATCACCTTCTGCTGAAAGTCGTCTCAGAACCCTCTGCGGCGTTTCAGAGACAACTTTCCGCTTTCCAGTAAGTTCCTTCGGACGAACTGCTGGCTCCTGGGGAGAGGGACGCAGCCTGTCCCCAGGCTGCAGACATGTTCCCCCGGGCTCCTGTCCATGGATTCTACCAGCCTCACAGGCAGTTTCTGCACACTGCAACCGGCAGCTCCTCTGCTGGATGGCCTTTACCCAACAGAATGAGTTCTTCTTGTCAGTGCTGCTATATGTGATCCCAGGAATGGGATAAGCTTCCTCCCAGTTGAAGTAGCAGGCTTCCACAGCTGGCTTGAAACCCTGGAAGAGCTTCTCCAGCGATTTCTTGTGCTGACCCCTCTTAACATTATCTATGACTTTCAGCTGCCACTGTCTGAGCTGTAAGCAAAGGTCCCTGCGCCTAAGAGAAGAAGTAAGAGGACAGGTTAGAAAGCAGACACAAAACGCACCTGTGACAAACTACCTCTTAACCCACAGAACACCTACTCCATTTGGTCAGAAAAATCTTCTGCTGAATTAAGTATAGACAGCATTAGTAAGAAGACAGGCTGAAAAAAAGTAAACAGGTATATTAACAACCAAGTCCTAGACGGGCCCATGATAGAGAAACAAAATGCGAACAGTACCAACATGAAAGCACGATACAAACTGGAAAGTTTAAAATGAAATACTGTCTGCCCTGTTTGCTTAACTGCCCCAGATAAGTTATTAGCAATGTGAGCCTCAGCAGTCTGAGACCAGAGAGTGCCATGGGGAACTGCTCTTGGAATCATTCATAAAACAGTTTGCAGCAGCTGTGAAACGGCCCTGTGAACAACTCCAGTCAAGACGTTCACAAGTACAATCTAAACAGTCTACCCAGGGAAGCACAATGCCAGACAGGACCACCTAATCTACCTCCCAGGAACTTATCTCTTTACACTGATATGCTTATCTAGAGCCCAACAATTTAATTTAGGATTTAGCAGGCTGTCCTCGGGAGAATAAACTGTTGCAAGCCATAGGCACAGAACAAGCAAGACAAAAATAATTGATGTTCAAATAACTCTGAGGAAGAAGCAAGCTGGTAAGGTTATATAGACTTAAATTACACAGCAGTTAGTCCCATGCCCCATATTACCATGGGAAGGACAAAGTATTTCCGCATTTCCCAGCTCCAAATCTCACGTAGGGCCTAAGCATATGAGCAACATAGTCTAAGTGGATTACACGTTTGGGTGATCTAATCCAAGAATAGGAAAAGACATTTCTAGAAATTGCACCAAGTGTCTCAATCAACTGCCATCTTGTTTCTGCCACAGATTTCAGAGATCTGAGGTACAAGCCCAACACTTCAATCCTCTCAGATTTCCTATCAAAAGCAAAAGAATAAAAAAATCAAATCAAAACAGGGTGACCCAATTTAGGTGCAAAGGGTATTAGGACAGAAGGGTCTAACCAAAATGGACTGCTTCTATTCGTCCATTAAAGAAATTAATTAATGAGGGAGCAGACTGGTAGGGCTTAATCAAGGAGAGGATTTTCAGAAGGAAAAAGAAGGGGGAACTACTCAGGAAAGGTAACATAAGGATGAGAGCTGGCAATGAATTAGGAATGAGGTAGCAAGTCTCCTTGTGATTCACTGGAAAGAATAGCAAGGGTGGGTAGAAGAGGGTTCTTCTTGGTGACTATTCAAGCGCCAAGAGAATAGGTAATCAAGCAGGAGCATTTCAATTATGCATGAGCTCAAGTAGGAGATCCGAGCAAATTTGAACTGCGCCAAATCACTCAAACGTGAACACATAGCACAACTTCATACTTTATTAAAAGCCAAAACCTTTATGGTTTTTCTAAGTGATCTGATTGATGTTTGTGTTTGTTTTAAGCCTCATTCCCTGTTTCCTACAGTTTTTGATTTGTCTTCATCTCCTATATTTAGCTACTTCATATTGTAAACTGTACAAGACAGAAACTGCATCCATTTTAGTGTCCCTGATGTACCTGACATAGATAGGGCATTTTATTAATGTTACACAACAATTCACAGAAAGCAAATCCTGTTAATGTGTAACTGTATGAAAAATACCATCCTGTTTTCATTTGTTCTAAAAAACTTTTTCTGAGCACTTATAGCACATTAAACTAATTCAGTACATTTTACACAACACACTTTGTAGACTAGATATACAAAACAAGTTATTGCAATGTCAACCACAGTATCTCAACACAAGTCCTCAGTACCACCACTGCTATTCAACTAGTGCTAAATAAAGATGGCAGTGATTTACGAAGGCACAATATGGTTTAGAAACCTGCAGAAGCCTCACAATTTTTCCTCAGACAATTGAAAACACTGACTGAAAATCATACACCAGTGACACTGTTTACCAATACACTGCAGAGAATAAACTCCCTAAGAGCACAGAAAGCAAGAAATGGTTCAGCTTGAAATAGACAACAGTCAATGATCGGGCTAAACAGAAATCCATTAAACTGCTGAACAGTTAAATTTAGAAAGCATTAAAATTTATTGGTAGCCAGTGTTATCATTCAATGAAATGTTCTCCACTAGGACACTGAAATGCAGAATTACACTCATACGTAAAAGAGAGCTCTCAGAAAACAAATTATTCACACTACATGATGCTGCTAAAAGTGAGCAGCAATAGCAATTAAAATCTAAAGTAATTATAGTGCTCTTGAACCTTACATAGCACATAGTCCAGAAGGACTAATGGTTGAATAGGTAACGAGGTAATGATACAAACACAAGACATCTACAGGAAGAAACTCTTGAGTGTGCTTGAATATCACAGAAATAAATGAGGGACTGGATCTGATTCTGGTGCTCACCTCTGTGGACTAATAGTTGGATCAAGGACAGCCAGCCTCCAAAGAACCACCATCTCATCGCACATACTTGCACAGGCATGAGCAGCTACTTCTGACTGGCCATTGCTGCGTCCTGTGTGCCCGCTAGCACTGCTGTGTGATGCAGATGTTCGCACACTGTACCACCACCCGGTTATCTGCAGAAGAAAATGTTCAGTGGAGCTGTGTTGTGGCCAACGTCTCGTCTCCTGCTCTCACTTATCCTCATAACCACAAGGAAACGGGATCTGTAGCTAGAACCATGTTTTCATCTGACTCCAAAATAACTATGAGCATTAAAGTAGTATTGGTTTGTGAGAACTAAGGGCCTCTCAAAATTTCTCTGATGAGAAGGCACATGCCCACAGAACAAAACACTCACAGGAGGTTCTCTTACTAGAGGCCTTCACACCTGGAGGGATAAAGTGAACAAATGTGATAAATGAAGCATTTTCTTTCCCCTGCTCAAAGTTGAGGTATGTGATAGAGCAATAAGGAAACTTACACTGCAATTTATATTACAGAATGAGATCAGTGTCCTGAACTGTCAAAGGAAACCTTTTTCCTAACATTATTTAAAAAAATATCAAAAAATTTATTACTTAAACCCATCAAGAGATATCTTCTACAAAAATAACAAAAGAATCTGAGATTCTAGCACCCAACATATATCTTTAGTTTTTATCAAAATGACAGCTCATATGTCATGTACTTTGTTTAGAAAAAAACCATTAAAATAAATCACCTTCACTGGGCAGAAATCAAATCAAATATGTTGAACAAGACTTCAGACTCCATATATTCATGTTAAAAGGACTGAGGTATTTTGGGGATATAGTGTTACCAGGACATCACCAAATCAGCACAAGAGCAAACTGTAACATCATTTTAGCATAGAGAAGCACATGCCCATAATGCATACAGACGGTTAAAAAAATTTATTCAGCTATGGATTGTACAGGCACATGGCACCAGTCAGTGGCTCAGCCTGGATCCCCAGAATTTTCTCCCCCAGAGCAAAGAGATTTTAATACCTGCTCATAGTTGAGACACTGGTCAGTCAGAATCTCCAGCAAAGGAGCTGCATTGCTATCCCGTCTCTTAAACATCTCCCGCACAATGGAAAGCAGGTTCCAGATTCCTTCAGGCTCTCTTCCTCGCAAGGGACGCAGGAGACAGGCCCACTCAGCAGCAGCTGGTGGCTCCGTGGAAGAGAGATACATTGAATTCACATCACTGTAGATAAAACAGAAGAGCAGGGATGAGAAAAAATTAAATCAAGCATAGCTATACAAAATCCTGAGTATATTCTACATCCAGAAGTATATTTGCACCTTAAATGGGACAGACATGCATAACCTAAGGCAGGATGCATAACGAGACTGAGAATACCACACAAGCAAGGTATTGTGCAAATACAGTGTGCTCTACTGAAATAACATTGGACAAGCTATGCGAAAATAGAGTCTAGAAGTGTGACCACGAAACTACGCATCCTTCAGTCCACAGCATCACATAAGGGTACAGGCTACACAGTGAATGAGCTTACAGATTACATGAATATCACATTTTCCCTTCAATGGGAAACAGTTTACCTGAAAACAACAGGGGAGGGTCCACAGAATTTATGAAGGGTTTTCTTTATGTTGTCACTCAGAGTAGATTCATCTAAGTACCAGGTGCTTTGATCTGATGCAGAGGGTCCAGCAGTGGGATCTTGACAAAAGAGTAACACATATACAGTCTGCAGGCTTTGAAGGTATATTTCCTCTGTGTGCCCAACCACAGCGATTATAGGGAGCACACAGGCAGTATTACTCAGTTTATTTCACCCATTGCAGAACTCACTATTCAGAACTATCTCAACGTGTTATCGTAACATTACCTTAACCACTGATAACACTAAACTGGGAGACATGGCTGGCATGTTGAATGGCAGCACTACAACCAGTGGGACCAGGAGAAATTCAAGGACTGTGCCAACAGAAACCTCATGAAGTTCAGTGAGGAAAAATGTGAACTTCTGTACCTGGGACAGAAAACCCCATGCATCAGTACAGACTGAAAACCAAATGGCTGAGTAGCTGATAGGGTTTCGTGATTATAGTGGATGCCAAGCTGAACATAAACCAATGGCAAACTTTCACTGAAAACACAAAACAAAAAACCAAACCTGCAAACTGGGCTATATTAAGAAAAGCACAGCTAGCAGATTTAAGGAACTTATTTTATCCCCCTCTACCTGGCATTGGTAAAGTTACACCTGGAATATTGTATCCAGTTTTGGGTCCCCCAGACCAGGAAATGATACTGAGAAACCAGAGAAGATATGGTAGAAAGGTATCAAGATAGTTGGGGGCATGGAGCACATGACCTACGAGGTGAGATTGAGGAAGATGGGCTATTTTCACCTAAAAAGGAGAGGGTGAGGGGTCATCATTAACAGCCTACAACTACTTGGAATCACAAACACAATGCAGACAAACTCTTTTTGGTAGTAGTAGATGATAAAAAAGGGTATTCATATTGGCCATTAGGAAAAAATTATTGACCAAAAGGGTAATGCAGCACTAAAACAGGAATACTCTGTAACGTCTCTGGTAACCAAGACTTGGCTAAGCTAGCCCAAGCCACAGCTAACCCAATCTAGTGTTGCAAACAGTCCTGTTTCAAGCAGGAGGTTGGAGAGGTCCCCTCCAATCAACATTTCCAGGAATTAACACCAACTTAAAAAGAAAAATCTTTTGTTAGAAAGGTGCGTTGCCTGATGCTCCCTTCCTCTGCATACACTCTGAGGCGTCCATTACACCAGCAAGTGCCTGCTGCTGTGCCATATACACACGCGAGTGCCTGTACCTACCCCTTTTCCTTGACCTCCACCTGCAATCCCAGCTACATGGTAACAGACCAGTTCAGAAACTCAACACAATGGAAATATATCCACTATCTGTGACACAGATTACTGAAATAAGATATATCAAGGCTACCTGGGGCTCCACACACTGTGTTGATGGCAGTAGACTGAGAAGATAACAGCTCATCCAGCAAGCGCTGAGCAGTTGGAAGAATCTGAAACCATGAAGCAAACTTTCAATATTGATTGAAGCACTCTCATAATTCCAGAAATATCAAATACACACAGTCATATTTTCAGAAAGGACTATAGAGGGTGCTAAAGATTATACAAGAGCAAACCAGCTGTTACACTTTCTCCTCTCCTTTTCTCAAAGCAAACTTACATCCAAGGCTTACTTCCTACATTCACACCCTAAGAAGTAAACAAAAGCATCATAGGTTACTAGCTCCCTTCTCATTTCTTGAGGAGTTGGAGCCCAGAGAGTGATACTGCAGCTAATTTTGAGAGATAGTGACTGCAGTCAAGGTCACCGTTTTCCTGCACTTTGAATGTTCTTTATTTCTTGTTCCTAAATCATTTCTCTAAAACCCAAGCTAATGGGAACAGAGGAGCAAACTATAAATTACATCTATACATAACTTTTTGGGCAGACTTTAGCTTATTTACCATCCTGTTAGCAAAGAGACCATATATACATTAACTCAGACTCAGTAGTAAACTAATGCAATTTCAGCACTAAACCAATGCAATCATAGCTTCTGGACAGTTCAGAGCATAAGCAGGAAAGGTTCACACCTGACTGCAAAATCCTAAGTAGATATACCCTTAACGTGCTCTTTTTGAAAGAAAAATGCATAGCAGAATGTGTTTTTTCCCCAACTAAGTCTGGGCTAAAACCGCAGATCCATTTAGCCTTTAGCATGCATGCTTACAACAGGCTAGGCATATAGTTAGGATTTAAATGACTTGCAGCGGAACATCTGATTGATATCCCTCCACCTCCCTCCGCACAACAGCTGAGGTTAAAGATCACACTTACTGTAAAGCAAGGCACATTCAGTACACCTATATTTGCAAATAATACAGACCCATCTCAAACAGATGGAAGAAAAACAATGCTTCAGAAGGATATTTTGCATTTGAGTCACCTGAAGGAACAAACTCAGCATTAAGCTATTCTTGTACCTTTTTCCACTGCTATGTATTGTAAGTCACCATGAAACAGAAAAGTCACAGGTCTAGGCAACATCACACCTTAAGATTGAAGTATCAGGGACCTGCAGTGACTCTCCTTCAGGCATTTTTGCCAAGATATTAATATTTAATTGGAATAGGAGTACTGGCTTCATGAAGGGAAATAGCTCTTGGGAGAAGAACTGGGTAATAAGTTCCAGCTGCTCAGAATCACTGACATTTTCATAGATACGGAAAACACTTTCTACAGAGATTTTGAAAAACATCTCCTTATCTAGCTGCATTCCTACAGACCACCTTCCCTTTACAATTGAAAGTAATTCAGCATTATATTACTGTACCATAATTTAATTCACAAGCTGGAAATAAGGATAAAATAGAATCATGTACAGCCTACTCTAATTCTACATCATGTAGTCAAAATATGGGGTCCCAAGGTATCAGAGTATCTATCTCCTCTCAGAAATCTCGAAGACCGGGAATGAGACTGTTAGAAGAGTTTGGGGTGTGCCTCGCCTTTTTCACGGGAATTACGCAACTCAGGTTAAGATGCATCTGCCAATAAACCCCAAACTTTTCTGTTGGGCAGCATCCATCAGATTATCTGGCAAGATAGTAATAATTAAATTAAATAATCCAGATGTTCCTGGGCGCACAGCTGGTACACATGACCGAAGGAGAAATAATGCAACCCTGCAAAAAGGAGCAGACACAGAATATTTGAAAGCAAACAACTCACATGCCATTCAGAAAACAACCACCATGCCACTGCTAGCCTTTCAAAACCCTCCTTTATTAAGCACCAGACTATGCGACATAAAGCTCTGAGTCCTTAAGGAGAGAAGAAAAGCTTTGTCTGTTTCGTAATGCAGCAAGAAGCACACGCTATTGATGCTGAACTCTCAGCAACAAAAAAGCAGTATTTTTCTATCACTTTCATATGATATGATTCCTCTATTTCCTCTCATAAGAAGATTAGTATTTCTGTAGGAAATTTAGAGGACGTTTTAGCAATAGAATATCTTAGTGTCCCAAGCACAGCACCATGATATGAATTTTAGGCACACGCTGACAGTAATCTAACTCCTACTTAAGACATGCACACACTACTGAAACATGACAGATACCCATGCAGGTCAGTTTTTTTCAATCTCCTTTGGTTGAACCAGCATAAAAAAGTTGCCAAGCCCTTATATTTTTAAAGCAAACATTTCACAATCACTTAGGTATTCTTGTGTATTTTGTGCAAGCATTTTAGGCAGATGATATAAATGACCTGACCTTGAACAACATAGATATTAAAGGAATAAGAGAGCAGATTTTGCCTTTGACTAACAGAATTTCATATCCATTACTTTCCATAACCCAAATGATTCTTATGAATCACCAAGAAGCTGCACTGCGGGAAGTCAAAAGGTCACCAGCTGGGTGCATTAGGAAGGGCCCACCTAAGGCATACGCAACACAGCCCCTGGGTAGTCTTCTCCACTTAACTAACCAATCACACAAAAAAGCAGCAACCTGATTTGTTCTGACCTAAGTTTTTCACCACCATGGATTTATTTTATTGTGTTTGATGTTCCACAAGCTAAGCGCATATTCATGCTAATATGAATAGCCACCACTCTTCTTTCTCCTTTTAAGACACTTCTAATCTTTTACTTTGCAATAGACAATTGTCAAATAATAGAATGGCAAACCTGAAAAGGGCAAGAACTGAAAGCCTTCCCAGCAACCCACAATCAAATAGCATAACTGGCTATCTTGCAACAAAAAAACCCATATAAATTCACCCAGAATAAAGATAACTGAATTTAACAAAAAGTCAGTCCTATCGATTGTCCCCATTTACCTGTTGTGGAAGTTCACTGATCAGGTACTGAGCAAATTTTTGCAATTGGTCTCTTTGTAGCCGAGACAAGGACTCAGAAACAGGTGCTCGTAAGCACACCGCAGATGCCTGAAGAAAGAAAAGGAGATATAAACTGCCATTAACAGGTCAGACTTAATGAAGCTGTGTCCACTGAATGGATGAAGTGTCACGAACAGTGGCTATGCTGATGCATATCATGCTTGGTCTTGATGGACAATTTTTTTTTCTGTAATTATGTGGTGTGTTGAAGATAAGATGCAAATAAGCTGTCTAGGCTTTATAAAAACTGTTTTTAAGAGTTTCTTTTCAAGGAAACTGCTTTAACAGCTGTGCTTAAGATCTGTTGTTGCTAGCAATTGCACAAATACTGGCAGAGATTTCACAAACAAACCTCTAAAACAGGACATTATTCTTTAAGCTTCTGGCAAACCAGCCAGCTCTGTGGGGGGCTGTTTCACAGAATCCCAACCACCTCATTTATCTCATTAGAGGTTTTTTCTTCAATCTTAAAATCAGTCTCTTTCCATATCTTAGAACAACTTAGATGATAAAAAACCACACCACTAGTTTCTTAAGCTTTTTAACTTCACAGAATAAAAAATGCCCAAATGGCACCTACCTAAAATTTAACCTGGAAACAGGCAAGAGCAGTTTGATAATAAAGATGCTTCTTATATTGATTTGTCTACATAAAGCAATGTACCTTGTCTTGTAACTTGCTAGTGTCAGCAGTCAGTATATACAAACACTGAAAATCCTTTCACTATCATTTTTCAGGTAGAAGAAAGGATTGGAGGGAAAAAGAATGATTTTTATCTTACACAGGGTCCAAACTTTCTGAGTGTAAATAATATAAATGAAAATTTGTTTCCTATCCTCACTCTCCATACCCACCTTTTAAAACTGGAACAAATAATTCAAAGCAGAACCCATTTTTTTGCCAACTCTCCAGTCCTAAATACAGGAAGTATACCAATATTCCAATGATTTCACAAGAGTATCAATTTAAGCCTATTACAATTGTCCATTGTGAAATATTAACAAGCTTCAGCAGGTTATTAGCACTTATTTAAGAATCTGGAGTTGATCATAAGCATGTTAGCTATAAAATGTTCTGCGACAGCAGAAAATCTTCTGTTCCTTTCAATCATCCAAGCTTAATCCTTCCTTAAGATGTATTTCTCAACTTCCCAAAGAATGAGGAAATTAATCTGTATGCAAGACTGAACCCTCAACTTGTGTATTTTATGTTGATTCTACACATTTTCACCTGGAGCTTGTTGGGATAAGAAACGCCTACTTTTCACTCTATACAAGGCCACACAGAATACAAGCAGCCAAAGAAAAACATAAACTTAGCTGACTGTTTGAAATCTACAAGTCAAAATGACACTTATCTGCCTCAGTATGCGACAAAATGAACTGGTGAACATAAAGGCCAACAGTGATCAAAATTACTTTCCTTCTGCACTCTGAATGATCAAACAACCGAAAGAAAGAGCTTTCAAATCCCATATTTACAAAGACTTTTAATAAAAGACTAACTACTGGTGACCTTTCACTCCCTGCAGAACTGAAGAAAGAATGAGTAATTCTAGCATTTAAATGAGAAACAGGAAGGGGCCAAAAAGGACTCTGTATCTACCCTTAGCAATTCACACATTATTAAAGGACATTCTGCAGTTAAGAGCCTCAGACAATTCACTCTGCAGACTGCAACTGTGAGCACACATTTGCACAATCTGTAACCAAAAGGAGTGCCAAGAACAATTTCCCTAAAGAGAGTGCATGTTGCATAAAACTGTAATGAGGAGAGACTCAGAGAAGATGCCTAGGGGAGAGCAGAACTGTATTTAAAGGCCTACATTGTGTATCCGGAAGAGGCAGAGCGCCACGACGTGAGCACACCACTTTGCCCCAGCTCCGCAGGTACAGCTGCATGACGTGATCCTGCATCGATCAAACATCACCGCCACGTTGTACGCACCTTTGGGTGGCACCATCTGTGGGGGTACCACAGTGGCGCTCAGATGGAAACCTGTTAAAATTCAAAAGTCCAAAGTTACTCTTCCAGTTCTTGGGAGACAGATTCAGCTAGCACAGAAATTTAGGTGTGTGCCATTTAAACGGCGAAACAACGTGTCTAGCAACAACATCCATATAGGGATGGACACGGATCTAGAATCTCCGGCACTTGTTTCTTCCCAATCAGCTACAGCAGAATATTAGCAGAGAGGCATAACATGTTATGAGGTTCAAAAATACCAGCTTTTAATACATTTATTTATTTATATATTTATTTATATTAATATTTAACAAAGAAAGGAACTGGATAAAGCCATCACTGAAAAGTGTGGGGTTTTTTGATCACAGGGTCAAAGCTAGGCTATACATATTTTAGGCATCATTTCTATGTTAATTAACTCTGGCAACAGTGCAGAACAGGCTAGGTGACTTCTTCAGAGTTACTTCCAAGTCAGTCAATTTTCACAATTTTACAGTGAACTAAAGAAGGCAGCACTTACACCTGAACACTTACTTTCACTTTGTGGCTTCAGAAGCTACCCATTTCTCATAAATCATGTACCTCCTTGCAATATTGCGAATATCCCATTTTTTTTTAAACCACGTACTCGGAAAACAAAAAACCCCTCTTGCTTAAGACTAAAATCAATGGAAAAGGGAAATTTCAGCAATAACACTTGAATGAATCCAGCCCCATTAATCTGTGATCAAACAAATAAATTATGAATCTCATCTCAGGCAGGATGACAAAGAACTTTAATGAGGCTTGGCTTTGTGTAAACTCACGTACAATGCATACCAGTTGTAGTCATAATGCAGCTTCCTCTACAGATAATGGTTATCCAGAGGCACACATATTACGAGCAGGAAAAGGCCATCAGGAGCATGAATCTTCTACTTGTCTTGAAGGTCCCTATCACCAGTTAATCATCCTCTACAGCAATAAGCATCAGCCTCAGAGCCTTTTTGCTAGTCTCAAATTCAGTTTCAATGAAGCACAGAAAGCACCAAGGGTATCAAAGCCATAACCAAAATTCAGTCCAACAATCTACCTTAAGTGAAAAAATATGGCTTGGGGCAGATGACTGAAATAGTTTCTCCATCATCAGCACAGGGAATTACATTATAAATCCACACTACTAAGTTTTTATTATGGTATTGTGAGATTATAATAACGATGGTGTTCAGGAGTGCACGTGACCTACTAAATCCCATTTAAAACAACGTGCACTACTTCTTCCTCAAAATATAATCTCTGTGCCAATACAAACTTGCTGTTACCTTGCTTAACCTTTCTATTTCTCCTGTTCACCAGAACTCAAATCCTCTTCCTCATGTGGGTGATTATTTTGATTAGTACACATAATGCCACCCAAATTCTTCAGCCATTTTAGCAATTGGAACAGAATCAAAACAAAAGAAGACATGCACCGCAAAATTACTGCACTACTTATTACTAGCTACAGCTCTAATTTATGTTCCACACTTGGATAATACAACCCAAACAGTTCAGCTAGTCCTTCTGTAATACTAGAAGCATCTCAGACTAATGCCAAAATGGCCTAATTTTCACAAAAGCAAATTAAGCATTTCACAAATTGGAACTGCAGAAATTCTGTTTCACTGAGAACAAAAAGTATTCGAAAGGTGTTAGAGAAGAATGGGTCACAGCTATACACTCTTATCAAGCTCCTACCATTAAATTTTTATTTGTATATGAAGACAGTTAACTGATTAAATGCAAAGAGTGAAGAACAGTTATAAAAAGAGACAAAGAAAATTTAAGGGCTTCAGCATGACATATCACAAGCTTCAACTCAAATTGTAGCTTGATGAACATGTCTGCCACTGGCAGTGCTAATTCAAGCAGCTCTGTCCAATTCTTTTGCACCACCAGTCTTGCTGTACTGAGCAACTGTTTGTGGGATGGCACAGGAAACCATACCAGGAAAAAATTCTGGATTAAATTAATGGTTACTTTTACCAGGAAAAATACCACAGTCCAGTTCACTGTGCAGCTTACAAAAGTCTGAGCCTGAAGGGACTGTAAAGGTGACTATGAGGGGGACCTTTCTGGAGTGCTTAGCCCAACACTACTGCTTAAAGAAATGGTCATCAAATCATACTTGTTTACAGTCAAAGTGCAACTATTGTCTTCTGCAAACCACAGCTCTTACCCTCCTGCTTAAATGTGAAGACAAGAATCACATCTACTGCACACCTGAGTGACCTGGCCACCTCATGGAGACCTAACACTTCATTACAAAAACATGTCTGCATGTACCAGCAGCATTCATTCTGCAACTGCATGCAGCCCACCAGAAAAAAAACTAAGATCTATACCCTATTCTTGGCAAGCTCCAGCCCCAGGAGACCTCAAGAATGAGCTGCAGGCCAGAGGAATTGCTCTGCCAGGAGTCTCACTCCCCTGGCTACCATTCTTCTTAAATGCACTGTGGGCACAGAGCAAGCTTAGTGCTTCTATGAAAGCACTTAGGCTTTCTACACAGAAAGTGCATCTTACACTTCTTAGGAGCACCAGATTTACTACTCATGCACAGAACAAATATGTCAAGCAGCCAGCACCAATGCTTCAGAGGATGTGTCGGG